ATTGATGTTAAGAGATATTAAGGAAAAATGATTGTTGCTTCCTGTTATTTTTGTTATTAGAGGTAAAGTTATGTTTGTATCTTCTTTTGGGGTTGTTGGAAGATTACTTACTTGCTTTTTCTAGGTTGTAGTTTCCCTCCTTGTGTTGGCATTTTCCAGCAATTATCCTTTGAAGTGCTGGGTTTGTGGGAAGATATTGTGCAAATTTGGTTTTGTCATGGAATATCTTGGTTTCACCATCTATAGTGATTGAGAGTTTTGCTGGGTATAGTAATCTGGGCTGGCAATTGTTTTCTCTTAGGGTCTGTATGATGTCAGTCCAGGCTCTTCTGGCTTTTATAGTCTCTGGTGAGAAGTCTGGTGTAATTCTTATAGGTCTGCTTTTATATGTTTCTTGACCTTTTTCCCTTACTGCTTTTAGTATTTTTTCTTTGTTTTGTGCATCTGATGTTTTGATTATTATGTGACGGGAGGTATTTATTTTCTGGTCTAGTCTATTTGGTGTTCTGTAGGCTTCTTGTATGTTTATGGGCATCTTGTTCTTTAGGTTAGGGAAGTTTTCCTCAATAATTTTGTTGAAGATATTTACTGGCCCTTTAAGTTGGGAATCTTCATTCTCATCTATACCTATTATCCTTAGGTTTGGTCTTCTCATTGTGTCCTGGATTTCCTGGATGTTTTGAGTTAGGAGTTTTTTGCATTTTGCATTTTCTTTGACAACTGTGTCAATATTTTCCACCGTATCTTCTGCATTTGAGATTCTCTCTTCTATCTCTTGTATTCGGTTGGTGATGCTTGCGTCTGCTTGCCTGACATGTGCAGGGGCCTCAGTTTGAGTCTTAGTGTTAAAAAAGTCAGTCTTTTCTACAGAGATCCCTGAGCCTTCGAAAGATTGTAAGAGCCAGGTATGGTCAGTAACAGCAAGAAGACATTATTCTCCCAGACACAACAAAGCAGCTGCACATATGACCTCACGGCAGTGTGACAGTATTCACAAAATTGTCTTGAGCCAGACTGAAATCCCAGCATAGGGTGTGGCGGTGAGAGGACATGAAATTCTATCACTAACTTAGGAGTTATGGCCTTTGGTGGCTTCTATCTAGGAGAGAGAGTATCAGGGGTTTTTTTGTTTTTGTTTTTTTGTTTTTGTTTTTGTTTTTAAAATGATGAAGTCAAACATTTGATAGGCAGGCCTTACTACAAGACTAGCTGGGCAGCACAAACTAAACTCCATGGTAAAAGAAAAAAAAAAGGAAGACGAAGAAATCTCAACTTAGGTGTGAAGGAATGAGAAGATATCAATGGCAATTTCATATATTTTTTGAAATTGTCAAAGATTTCATAAAAATATATTACATATATTATATGCATGCATTAAAATATCATTATAAACCCCATAACTATGTCTAATGATTATATGTTAATGAAAACATTTGAAAAGTAACAGCCAACCTTTGCTAACATTATAATAATTATATATAATTATAAACCTAGCTTCTATTTAACCCTACTTTTTAGAGGTGCATTTGCAGATTTTCTTGAAAAGTCATTTAAAATAATTGTAAATTATTTATATCTTACCATTTGATACAAAGTTGTGTATGGATGACTTAATCAGTGTGTCTCTCACATATAAACTCTGGCATGAAGTTTGAATCTTCAGGTTTTCATAAATAAAAATATATTTCAGAAAACATAAAATTGACTGAAAAAATGAAGAAACAGAGTAGATGTATGTACTAAGTTACCTTTTGCAAACACATACACACACAGACATTTACAATTTGGGTATTGTTTCTATGTTTGTGTGGCACATTAATAACAGCTACTTTTTATAAGACTTTCAGACTTTAGGAAAAATGTATGATACCCATTAATTGTCTTTACACTTCCTAATTAATTCTATTTCCTGAGAACAACCTTTCTACTTTGCATGTTTTGATAGGAGCCCGTTAATGAATGATGAAGGGAAGTCTAATTATTAGGGATGTGTAGATTCTATTCCAAATGACTTTTAACCTGGGGTTTAAGAATTTGCAGCTTGCAGTACTTTTATTGAGTTATAATTGATTTTAGTAGTCTTTGCACATTTAATGTATACAAATTGATGAATTTTTACTTGTGCTTATACCTTTGAAACCATCACCATAACCAAGATCCTCAACACAGTGAGTGGTCCTCAGAGTTCTTGCATTCCTCTCTACAACCTTCCTTCCAGCCTTGCCTTTCTCTTCCATTCTTCTTCCATTGTATCCTCTTCTGTCTTTCCCTATGTTGAAGTTTATATTTTCAGAATTTTATATAAACAGTCATGTTTTTTGTTTGGCACCTTTCAACAGCATTGTTTTTTCTAGGGTCATCCATGAAGTATGTGTAATAGTCTGTTGCTGTTTTTAGCTTCAGTAGTAGCTTGTTTTGTACACACAGAACAGTGTTTATTCATTTATTTGCTTATAGATATCCAAGGAGCTTCTAGCTTTTATTTCTCATGGTTAAAAATCACATGAATATTTTTGTGCATGTCTTAATATGGCTTTTCCAAGTATTGAAGCCAGTGCATTGTGCTTTTTAGGCAAGTGTTCTGCCACTGAGCCAGATCCTTAGTACTTTGCATGTGTCTTTGTGTGAACGTGTGTTTTCATTTTACTTGGGAAAATCTCTAGTTCAGTTTTGTTGATAATATTTTCCTGTCTTCCATAGCTTTACTTATTGCTATTAACATTTTAGAAAACAGTGTGGACCTTTCATTATATCTATGATTTTTTTTTTTTTAAGAAAAGTTCAAGGCTCTGTCCCACATTCTCCTCTATTAGATCCAGTATATCAGGTTTTATGTTGAGGTCCTTGATCTGCTTGGACTTGAGCTTTGTGCAGGATGATAAATATGGATCTATTTTCATTCTCCTACATACAGACCACCAGTTAGACCAGTGCCACTTATTGAAGATGCTTTCTTTTTTCCACTGTATGTTTTTGGCGTCTTTGTCAAAGATCAGCTGTCCACAGGTGTGTGGGTTCACTTCTAGGTCTTCAATTCTATTCCATTTATCGACCTGTCTCTTTCTATACCAACACCATGTGGTTTTTATCACTACTGCTTTGTAGTCAAGCTTGAGGTCAGGGATGGTCATTCCCCTGGAAGTTCTTCTTGGGTTTTTTGTTTTTTCCATATGAAATTGAGACTTGCTCTTTCCGTGTCTGTGAAGAATAGTGTTGGAATTTAGATGGGAATTGCTTTGACTCTGTAGGTTGCTTTTGGTAAGATGGCTATTTTCATGATGTTAATGCTGCCAATCCACAAGCATGGGGCATCTTTCCATCTTCTGATTTTGTTTTCAGAGATTTGTAGTTCTTATCACACAGATCTTTCACTTGGTTGGTTTGAGATGGTTGAGTTGTAATTTATAGAACATAATTTATCCATTTAAATGGCTCCATCTAGATCCATTGGGAATGAAATTTCTTAAAAATCTGTTTACATGATTATTTATCCATTACCATAATAGATGACAGCACGCTATCCTTCTAAAGAGAAGCTGGTATCATTCCTGGCCTGCTAACTTGCCTTCTCCCTCTGTGCTTTTGTCTGTTTTAGACATCAGAGCAATAGAATAAACTATTAGCTTGTTTTAAGTAGCTGCTAATTTTTATGACCAAATAATATTCTATTGTATGAATATACAATACTGTACTTTTCTGTTCTTCATTTGTACATCTAGGCTGTTTTTATTGTTGGCTATTAGCTATTCTGAATAACTCTGCTTAAGTATCTGCATACAAGTTTTATGTCTATGTTTTTGTTTCTTCTCTAGACATATATAGGACTTGTAAATCTGATGGACCATATAAACTGCATGCTTAACCAGTTGAAGAACTGTCATGGTGTTTTCTAAAGAACTTCCACAGTTTTTGTTCTTAGGTCTCTTTTATTTTATAGCTTGGGCTTTGACTCATGTAGTTTGAAACTTTTTAAGTTCATTAGTTTTTAAGAGACTTGCATTCATGATAATTTGTTCCTTTATGAAATGACCTTTTTTGTTCCTAGTGATAGTTTTTGCTCTGAAATCTGGCTTTCATATAACTATCTCATTTTTTTATTTTTTGAAATGAAAATATAATTGCATAATTTTCCCCTTACCTTTACTTTTTGCAGCTCTTCCCATTCATCCCCCACTTGCTCCCCATCTCAGGTTTTCTTTGTCTTTATTATTTATTTACTTTTAAAGTCTTTTAATCTCTATCTTTAAGTTTCTTATGAGAAACACAGTTGGGTGTTGCTTTTGATCTAGTTTGACGTTCTCTGCTGGTTAATTGGTGCTATTTAGACTATTTACATGTAATATGATTTGTTTACAATTATTAGCTTACTATTTGTTTTTCTTTGGCTTGTATATTGTCCCTTCCTTTGCTCTTTAAAATTCTGTTTTATGCCTTTTGTTGGTTTATTAAGCATAAATCTTCACTTCATTATTTTAGTTGCTGCTTTAAGGTTTATAGGATAAGTCTTGACTTACTCATAGGGTTTATTAATGGATAATTCTCAGGCAAATTATTTAATTATAAAATATCTTTAGGTTACAAAACCATCTTCAAAAATATAATATTATGTCTAGCCTACATTCTTACTGTGTTCCTATTGTAGCATAGTATCCTTGTTTCATTTTTAAGGAAAATATTTTATCTGCACCTGCTTTTAATTTGGGCATTCAGGTGAAATTTGCACTTCCTCATGGATATTATCTGTTATTTTCAAATTTGACAATTTGTCATACAGAACAGTCTGGTAAGAAAGGTTAGAAGTGGATTGTTGTTGGATTTCATGGAGCAATAATTAAGCCCTTGACTTCATGCACCTTGTATTGGATCTAGTTTTTCTGATTCTAGGTGTGTGTGTGTGTATGTGCACACAGACACACGCGCGCACTAATTTATGATTACCATAGAAAGAAAGAAAATACTTATTAATGTTTCATGATTCTACCCTTTTAAAAAAAATAAAGTCCATGGCAGAAGTTCTCGCTAAAAAAGAAGAGCTAGCAGATCGTCTAGAAAAGGCCAATGAAGAAGCCATTGCCAGTGCTATTGCTGAAGAAGAACAGTTAACCAGAGAGATTGAAGCTGAAGAAAACAATGACATTAATATCGAGACTGACAACGACAGTGATTTTTCTGTGAGCTTTTTAGTGTTTTTGAATCTTGAATAATAGTAAAATTTGTTGTGGTGATTTAGATAATGAGCATTAGCAAATCTTTCTTTTAGCATTACTGATTACAAAATACTTTCATATGTGATGCAGTTGATAAGTAGAAAGCCATCATTGTCATTTTACAAATCAAGAAATTGTGTTTATCTAAAACGAAGAGTCCAGTATTCTTCAAACTGTGATTTCTAAGGACTGAAGAAATTATTAGTCTTGTTTTGTCCTACTGATGAATAGAGAATGATGAATTGCTTTATTGCTAATTACTCAGGGTATACATGTTAATGGAGGAAAATAAAGAATCATAAGTTTTGTATTTCATGTCTTTCTATTAATTGCTACCAAATAACTTTTAATTCCAGTGTATGCTTTGTGTAAGACTAGTTTACTTGTTTTGAAATATAATTCATTGGTTCCTGTGAATGGATAGTGAACTCTTAAAATACATAGTCTGAGTATTTTAAATTGGGAATTACAACTTTATAAGAGATACAGTTTTGCTTTCATTTGTTTGGTTCAGTGAAGTTTATTAGAAGTTGATAGGAGAATTTTATATGTAGTTCATTTTTAAGTTTATAATGTTATGTGCAAAACTAAGGGTTTTTTTGTTTTGGTTTGGTTTGGTTTTGATGTGTTGTATGTGTGTTTTTTTACATTCTAGGCCAGTGTGGGTAGTGGGAGCCTATCTTTCTGTGGTATGTCTCTGGACTGGAATGATGTTCTTGCAGATTATGAAGGTATTGTGATTATAATGTCTTTGAATATTTGGTTTATAGGCACAGTGGGAGAGACTAGATCATCTTATATGCAGTTTTTAGGTAAAAATAATTTGAGGTAGAAATGCTTTTAAAAGTGTTTTTTCTGGCCAGGCGGTGGTGGCACACGCCTTTAATCCCAGCACTTGGGAGGCAGAGGCAGGTGGATTTCTGAGTTCGAGGCCAGCCTGGTCTACAGAGTGAGTTCCAGGACAGCTAGGGCTATACAGAGAAACCCTGTCTCAAAAAATCAAAAAAAAAAAAAGTGTTTTTCCTGTGTAGCTCACTCAATAAAGTGCTTGTCTTGCAAGCATGAGGACTGGAAATAGTCCCCAAACCATATGCCAGCCATGGTTATGTGTGCTTATGTACCCAGCACTGGGAAGTGGAGTCAGGTATATCCCTGGGGCTTGCTGGCTAGGCAGCATAGCCTAATTGGTAAACTCCAGGCCAATGAGAGATCCAGTGTCAAAAAAAGTGGACAGGGTTTCTCAGGATGACACTGGAGTTTGTCCTCCAGTGCCCACATAAATGTATATACATGTGTATTTAAAAAATTCTCAAAAGTTAGCTTTAAAGAACTATGTGGCTAATAATAACTGTTTTCTTGTTTTATTTTATTGTCCCCTGTCAGCTCGTGAATCGTGGCGTCAAAACACATCCTGGGGGGATATTGTAGAAGAGGAGCCTGCTAGACTTCCAGGGCATGGAATTCACATGCATGAAAAACTTTCTTCACCATCTCGTAAAAGGTCTGACATTTGAAAATTCACTTGAAATGATTGATAGTAAGAAATCTTGATTCTGTCTTTGGTATCTTCTATCAGGACATTCCATAGCTATTGAAAGTAACAAGCACTATGGAGAAATGATCTTGTGTACATTGAGATTTTTGAGGCCCACAAATCCCTGGTTTTAGGCTTGTCATGTGAATACATGTGTTTCTTGTTAATTTGTGTGTATTAATAGGACAATCGCAGAGTCTAAGAAGAAATATGAAGAAAAACACATGAAAGCTCAACAATTAAGGGAAAAGCTACGTGAAGAGAAGACACTAAAGCTTCAGAAGTTGTTAGAAAGGGTAAGTGTTTACATTTTTAAAAATAAAATGATAATTATAACTTGGTGGATTGTTTTCAAGTAAGTTTTTTGTTCTGAGACTAAAGGTCATACGAATACATGTTGTAGAAAATAAAGGCAATGTTCCAGACTACCTTTTTATTTTTAAGAGTTTGTCTTTCCTAAACTATCTAGTACATGGATATTTTGCAAGGTTTTTTAAAGCTATACTTGGTCTTTTGCCATTTTCTTTGGGTAGGCCTGTCCAAAATACAGAATTCCTTGTTAAGAGAGATTTGAAGTTGAAATCATTAGGCTTGTTTTGTGTACTTGTTTGTGGGGCTTACCCTGCTCCCTGCTCTGGCTTAGATTTCTGCTACTCTTAATGTAGCTGTGGCCATCTCCCCTAGCTTCAGAGGCATAAGCTCTCAGTCGTTGTCACTGGATACATATGGCACCAGTCCTGTAATCTATGTAAATAACCCCTGACTGTCATATGCATACTCAAGACAGATTCCATAGTTGTTTGTGCTGCTTGTCCTAACTGTGTCCCTTAACCATTTCTTGCCCTGGCCCTTATTTACTAGCACATGCACTGCTCAACACAGACGTGCTGTTGAGGACAGCATCCTGCTCAGGTACTGCAAATACCCAGAATCTTTTGTACCTGGTAAACACTGGTAGCTATTGATATTACTCACAGCAGCCCTCAGACTGCCATGCTATGCTGCATAGCTCTGGACCCAGAGTGTATGTACTCCACACTTTGTGCATCAGTATTACGTTTCTATTTGCTTATCCCCGTCAGTGCTTCAAAACCTGCTTCCTGGGTGCTGGCCTTCCCCTACTGAAGCCAGCTATTATACTTGGGCAAATTGATTACTTTTAAAAAGCAACCAGATAACAATGTAGAGACATAAGGAACCCCAACATGAGGAAACCCTAACTACATTATAGGAAACTAGTAAAACCCCAGCAGTTGCCTCAAACACTGGGAAATCTACAAGTTTTTTGACAAAGTATTCAAAATAGTTTCTCTATGGAAGTCTGTCGAAGTTCTGAAGGATAGTGCTACTATTGCTATCCCATGACTATAAGTCTGTCTTTTGAAATGTAAGAAGACTCCCTGAAACACTTGTAAAATTCACCTGCTGCCATTAGCTTCATGAATACACTAACAGGGAACACTGGAGCACAGGAATGCTAGGAACTTCTCCACCCTAGCAATTGTATGTGTCCTCATCTTTAACCTGAGATATGTGCTGCTTTCTGCTCTAACCAAGGAGCCAGCTGCTTTTTTTGAAGGAACTGACAATATGAAATGGCAGGGAAATGGGACACTACTTATAGTGGTGGCCATATCAGGAAACACATTTGAAAAATGCAAAGGTAGGTGAAACAAGACAATAAAACTGATTTATTATGAGACATGGATTGTACAAAGCTAGCCCAGAGAAAGTTGTAGAGACAGTTTGAATTTTACAACTGTTGGAACTTTGTGTTAAGGGCATAGGAGACTTTGGTTGAATTTGGAGTAGAATTCAAGAAATTAGAAACAACTATGAAATAAATTCAGTGGAAAATATATTTACTTGAGGAAAGAAAACATTTGTTTTGGAACAGAAAGGAAATCCTGCTTTATCCATAATACAATTTTATTACCCTTTCAAACCTCATTTGTTACTGATTCTGTTGAATCTCTTGGAAGTATTTGAGTAAGTGATATAGATTGTATTGCTTGTTTTATAATTTTGATTATTAGTTTAGTCTGAAATTTGCTCTTTTTTATAATAATGAATGAAGAGGCCAGTTTACTTATCAGACATAAGACACTCCTGTTTTGTAAAACCATTTGTTCTGCAGCTTTTGTCTCTCTGACCACAGCACCTGTCTCTCAGTGCATATCTTTACATTTTCATAGTTTTCAGCCTTTCTTCCATGGGGCAGATATATTAAAATGCACATGGGTAGACTTCATGCTTAAGAGCATGATGGGACTTCTTTTAGGAGAAGATAGGAACGGTGAAACCTTCCTATCAGCCACAGTGAGCAGCATGTCACAGGAGGCTGAGGATGTAGCTACGAAGAGGACTTGAGTAGCATCTAGGATGGCTTTGATTCAATTCTCAGTAGCCCCCTCCCCCAGAGGAAAAAGTGAGCCCCTTAAGTGATCCAGTTCTAATTTTCAGCCTTTTATTCAATTGGGGAGTTATGACCTGTCTCATATATGCAGGTTTTTAGTCTCAGTAGTGACATTTTCATGGAGCTGCTTTCTCTGATGCAGTAGTTATGCATCAGAGAAAGGTTTCTTGTTAGTTTAGAATTTCTTTACATTTACTATAACTTAGATTTTTTAATTTAACATTATTTTATTGATTCTTTAGAAATTTTACATCTTGCATCCAGATCATGCTCATTTCCCAGTCTTCCCATGCTCCCCACCTTTGTGATCTTCCTCAAACCTCACGGGCCCAATTTGTGTTATCTATATGCTCACCGAGCCATTGTCACACTGAGTGGCATGCCTCTTAAATAGAACTGAGTCATTTCCCTCCTAAACCCCTGCCAGAAGCCATCAGTTGTTGGGAGATACACTTCAGCATCTCCATCACACTTCTTAAGAGCTCTCTTTGACGGCTTTCTGTTTAGACGGCTACGTTTTGGGTGGGGTGGGATAAGGTTAGGGGTTATAACAGAAGCCTTCCTTCATGTCCCTTTTGTGCAGCTGTGTATCTGCAATCATCAATATCATTGCAGAAGTAGCTTCCTTGCTCTTCATATTCAGCTGCAGCCTAGATCATGGGCCTCTTCTTGATTTCTGGGAACAGCACATATTATGAACATGGCCCCATGCTGCAGTAGGTCCATGGGCTCAGACAAGGCCCTTGGCAGCAGCATAGACCTATATATCACCATAGACTCGGGTGGCAGTACATGCTACTCACATCAGTATGGCTCCTCACAGCAGCATAAGTGGTAACATGGGCATTGGACATCAACACAGACCCCAGCTGCATTAGGGCCTTGTATCCAGTCATGGCCTTAGCCGGAAGCATGGATCTGGATATCACCATTGCCTCAGGTGACAGTTCAGGCCACTCAGGTCAGTATGGCGCCCAGTGGCAGCACAGCCAGCAGCCTAGACCACAGACATCCTCATGGTATTTGGTGGTATCATGGGCTGTGGACATCAACATAGACTCCAACTGCGATAGTACCTCAGACCCTGCAGCTTTGTGTGTTTATGTGTGTGTGTGTCAGTGTCTGCAAGGTTAAAGGAAACTTGTGAGAGTTGGTTCTCTCCTTTGACCACATGGTCCCTGAAATTAAACTCAGGGCACCATACTAGACAAGTATGCTTCTTCACTGAGTCATCTCGCTGATTCTGCTGTGACTTTTGAGTCTGACTACTTTCTGTTAACATAACTTCAAAGACTTTTTTGGTCACCATTGTTGGAGTAGTATTTCCAGATGTAAATTCAGTATTAAAGGGGAAATTTTTTTTTTCTGTTTAGCACTTTAGAGCTCAATAGAAACCATCTTTTGTGATTTAAATGACTTAACCTCTTTAGAGTTTTGGGTTTTTTTATATTCTAAATGACTATTAAGACTGAAGTGATGTATATTTGGTATAAGAAACATTTAATGCATATTATTATCTCAGGGCTGTGACAATTAGTCAAAGAACAAAATATCATGTCCAGTTTGGCCAAATGTGAATTACAGGCCAGTTCTACCTGGATTTGTAATCACCTGGAGTTGAAGCTGACAGTGTGATTCATTAGGTCTTCATACTTCTGTGGCGTAGATGTATCAGAATGGCCCACAGCTATCTTAACATGTGCTTCTGAGTCCCTGCCTGTCCGAAAGTTCTTTCTTTTCTCACTTCAAGGCCGGCACAGTAGAAAGAGTACATTTCCCAGGGAAAGGACAGGGGTTTGTTACAGACCTTCAAGTCCCTGTGCTTTTATTAGGAAGGGCCATCAACCAGGTTCTCAAAGAGGTCCTGTATTTTATGATTAACTGAGCCTGTCTTTCTTTTTTCTTTTATTCATAGAAAGCATACTAGTTTGTTAATGGGGTCCAGATCAGAGAACATAATTTATTTAGTATAAAATATGATAATTACTGGCTTACTAATACTTAAATATGCCCTTGGCTTTTATAATAATAACAACAACAACAGCAACAACAACAGTAAAAAGATACCATACTCACCAAAGTGAGTAAGTCAGGGACAAGAAAGGTTTGTATGTTCTTCATCTGGTAACTGAACTAGGAGTAATTAAGAGTCTGAGCTCGGATTGTGATGAATGAATTGGGTATACTACTCAGATGTCTCCTGTCTGTGCGGGGTTAAGTATGATACTGATATGGCATGTAGAAACTATAAAGGGGAATGCCGAGGGTGTTTTCCTGTTCAATCCAACAAAAAAGTAATCTGGGAGAAAAAGGACAGTGTGGTCAAATTAAGGTATTAGTGGAGAAACTCAGCAACAGATTTGATCACCGAAGTACACTGAAGAACCAGGATTCGTGATCCTTCTACCTCTGCCCTCGGATTGCTGGTTATAGTTGTGTGTTACCATATCCAGCTAAAGTAAACTCTGTAAAAGAGAAAGGAATGACATTCACAGTGTAAGCAATAAGTTAACCTAAGCATAAAAAGTTAAAAATATACACTGAAAATGGTGAAATTAAAGAAGACAAATGGAAAAACTTTTAATGTTCATTGATTAGAAGAAATAATCAGCTGCAATGTCGTACTACTATAAGAACCTTCAGATTCTGTGGAATAGCTAATTTTTCTCTGGTTTGGGATTTCTTTAAATCCCAAACTGCTTATATCTTGGTGTGATATCAAAAAATTATTGCCAAGATGTT